GTAGCTGGTAGGGGTTGTTTAATTGTTAAATCTGTTGTCAGTTATTAATATTTATATAATGCATACTAATGTAATGTGATTAACATAATGTTAATTATGAGTCAGTTTGTATTGTTACTTATTTGTCGTACTGGTATCAGAGCTGATGATGGTTTCTTAAATTGTTTTCCTCATTCCAGGCCCTTCACACACTTCCTCACAGGAGTTTGTGCCATTGTTGGTGGCATATTCACAGGTACTGCATCTTTAAATCCTTTTTCTCTCTGATTATTTGCCATCTGATTCTTTCTTAACTCTGTGTAGCTGGTTATAAATCCCCCTTTACTGGGGAAAGGTGACTTCAGCCTTCAGGAGGCAATACAGATGTTCTGCAGAGCTGTGGGAGTATTTCATTTTGGTGCTCTGGGAGGCATTTTGTTTTCAAATAATGCAGTCTTTCATTTGCCATTCAATTGTATTTGTGCTGTTTTCCTGTCCAGCTTGGGTCTGGAAGCAGATAGTTTCTTTCATGCTGACCTGAAGCCCATAAAATGAGCCCATGGGCCATCTCAGAGTTCACTAACTGTGTTCCCAGACACAGAAGTTCAAGTGAATGCCCTGCAGGGCCCAAAAGTGGCCCTCACAGCTCCTGGGTTCCTTAAGGAGAGTCAGCTCATGCGGAACCATTTGCATCTCTGGACTTTAACATCAGTATTGGCTTCTGGAATAGCATTTACTTAGTTCCATGCACATGACAGAGCCCAGCCTTGGTCCAGCTGATAACCCAGTGTGCCCTGAAACAACACAATCAGAGACATTCTCATGGAGGCAGAGACATTCTCATTAGGGCAGATCTGGCCGGTGCTGAGCTCTGTAGGAGTCCAGCCGCTCTATATCATATCCCTGTATTCCATAATACCTATATCTGCTACATCACACTTGGATAACCTGGTACTGAGGTTACTGTCTATTAAACAGGATTTGTCTGCAACACATTTATTTGATCATGTTTGTTTTCATGGCTAATGCAGGTAAAGGCTTTTAAAAATTATTATGACAAATTCAAGTTTCCTCTATCAGTGACTGGGGCTGACAAGCCACTTCGTGCTGTCTGCTGCCATCCACTGTGGTCAGGCTGTACATGCTGGAGGACAGATCAAATCAGCTGTCTGACAGCCTCTTTGTCACAGCATCAGATTGGTTTCACAAGTATTTTCAGGGCAAAAGATAGTCATCAGGGTGTTACTGAAAGACCATTTGACACTGTCTCCCACGACATCCTTATAACGAAGCTGAGGAAGTGCGGGATAGATGAGTGGACAGTGAGGTGGGTTGAGAACTGGCTGACTGGCAGAGCACAGAGGGTTGTCATTGGCGGTGCAGAGTCTGGTTGGAGACCTGTAACCAGCGGTGTTCCCTGGGGGTCGGTGCTGGGTCCGGTCCTGTTCAACATCTTCATCAATGACCTTGATGAGGGGGTAGTGGCCACCC